TTTTTTTTTTTTTTTTTTTTTTTTTTGTTGTTGTTGTTCTGCATCCCCAAATAATAATTCGCCATTTTGCATTCGTTCTTGTGTTGTGGTGCTGATGGCGTATCAGAGGGCTGCTAATACAGGTTGGAATGAGGAGGAAGAGCGGAAGGCCCGGGCGAGAGAGCTTGGCGGTCATGCAAGGGGCGGTTCGAGTGGTCGTTGGGCGAACGATCTGTACGAGGGAGGACATTCAAAGGAAATGGATTTCAAGGGAAAGGCAGGTCAGAGTCAACGAACTGTTGATGCAACTGAGCAAAGTGGTGCCCAACGTCCTCCGAGAGAACCGCCTGTGGCTGCACCTGGTTGTAATCCGTGGGAAGGGAGCGTTTTTCAACTGCTTCGGGCTAGCACGGCTGGCAAGCATCCGAAAAACTCCAGCCAAAGGCAGGGAGAGGGGGAGGGGAAAAAAGAGGGTGCAGAACAGCGTACGAAGGAGGGGGATGCCAAAGGTTACAGGAAACAAGATACACAGAAGAACAGTGATACCAGGCATGATCAGAAACGGAGCAAGAGAAGTCCTGGTCGAGATCGGAAGGAGGAGGAGAGCCCGCCATGGGATGCCATGAGGCTTGCAAGGGTGGATAGAGGAGGGAGGGGCTTCGCCAGGGAAGACCTCAGTGGAGGGGAGGATGGACCAGAGACTGCTGGTAGTCGGGGTGTTGAGAGGGAGAAATATGGCTCCAAGTCGAGAAGGGATCGGGGTAGGGGACGGGAGGAAGAGTATGAGGTAGCGGAAAGGCAGGAGCGCGACAAGAGCGATGCTGTTGGGTGTTACGGCAGGGGGGAAGAAACTTCACAAGAAGAGGCAGCATGGAGAGAGAGGACGAGGGATGGAAAAACAGGGATTGAGACGAGCAAACACGGATGGAGGGAACATGAAAATGAGAAAGACCATTCTGCCGAAAGGCGACGGAGCCGGGAGGAAGGAATTCGAAGGGGTGAAAGGGATAGAAGAAGAGAGGTACATAGGGATACAGACCGGCATCATAGGGATAGAGACCGACATCAGCACAGAGATCCCGATCGGAAACATAAACACTCGGACACCCACGGAGAGAAGGATAGGGACAGGTACAGGGCATCGAAGATGAATGAGGAGGAGGGATGGGGACGGTCCTAAGATCGAAAGGACCCATGCAGAAGAAGAGGGAAAAAGAGGTTGGCAAGCAGAATAACCCACATTCTTCTCATCCCCGCCGACCCTGTAAAGGGGGACGACCTTGAGGTGTCTTTGTACAGCTGACCAGGCCAGATATTTTCCTCGTTATTTCATTCATCTGCTTCCATCAGGATTTGAACTCAGGTCTGCTTGTCAACTGTTCAGCCCCATGGGCTGGGTGAGAATGACCCATGTTCTAATAGCAGGGATGTGTCACAGTGTTGGGGAGTTGAAGGATGGAAGAACGAGAAGGCGACGACAGCGAGGAAGGAATGTGAAATGAGGTGAAACGCTGACCTGACAGCATTATCGATCTAATGCCTCGTTCTCAAGTCTAAGGGACACATGGAGAACATTGATGTAGCAACCGAGGGGCATAAGGCAGAAAGTGGCACTGTTTTCGATGGTCATGCTAACGTGGAGCCCTAAGGCCAGAGCCGATACTGTTGCTGATGCTATTGACTGAGGGGCATTGTTGCGGTGTGTGGGGCTTCAAGCAGACACTATCAACTGAGTCCTATCAACTTTTGCCGGCACTATCACCTGAAGGCTGAAGCGCGTAAGGCCGAAACCGGCACTGCTGCCGATGCTCGTACTAACAGGGGGGGCATCAGTGTGGGCGTAGTTCATCGCAGCCTGCATGAGGCCGATTGCGGCAAGTGGTTTCTCTCTTGCTCAGACTTGAGAGGGGCATTGAAGCGCAGGATGGACAAGCCTGGAGGTAAGAATCAGCAGACTTCTGTACTCTTTGCTTTGCAACTGTGTGGGTACCTTCTTCCCCCGCCGAACAGAATGGACGGCCATTTCTGCTGCATCTGGACTAAAATGTGAGCCAAATACGGCTGTAATGACCGTATGTTCTATTCCCCGGAAGACGGTACTTCCTTTCGCGCTGGCAATTGATTGGACGTACATTCTGAAAGGACGACTGTTGACAGCATTGATTGTCTCTCCACTGAGAGGGATTTTGACTATCCGCCATTGAAGCACAGGGTTCGCAAACCTGGCTGTATCTAAGGACCCGCAGAGTCGCACAGACCGCCCCACCCCACCCCCCCCCAAAAAAAAAAGAAAAAAAGAAAAAGCGTTGGAATAAAGTCTGGGTAGTTTCGCTTCCACTTGCAGGGGTCATTGCAGGTACAGCACAAACAGATGAGCGTTGGGAGCATTGATCGACTCTGCAATGAGAGGGGTTTGACTGTGAGATAATTGAACGATTCACACTGTTATGGCTGTCAGCCATTTTGTTGATTCGGGTTACCATAAAGTATGAACGATGGCTGCGGTGCATCACGTGCGTGTGTGGCGCACATGTGCGGCGGCGCACAGCGTATGCGCACACGTGCACGCGCATATGATGACTCACTTCACCCCACAAAAATGGGGGCAGACAAACGACGTCGGGAGGGGTGGGGTGTGGTGGCACACCCTGCCCCACCCCTTGGAGAAAACTGAAGCGCAGTAGGGGAGAAAAAAATTGGTGCCGCGCATGACAGCGGCCCCCCAAAAAACTCTGTGTCACTCTGTCCCGTTGTGAGCGTGTTGTCATGTTCGCTTTATGCAACTCTCCACAGAAAATAACTTTCTGATGTGGAATGTATATGTGCTGTCTGTTTTTTTTTTTTTTTTTATGTGCTGTCTTTGTGGTTGCATACAGTCGTAAATGAGAGCGATATGTTCATTGCAACGGCTAGGTTGTGACTCGTGAGCACTCGTTTGCATTGTGTGCATAGCAATGGATAGCTGGAATGTATACATGCCGTCTTTGGGGTTGGATACGACCGTAATGAGGGCGCGTGGTGTTCAGTGCAGCGTGTTGCACGCTGTCCTTCTGGACATCTGTTAAAGGTGGAACGAGACAGAGCGAATGGCCCCTGCGCAAGGACGGCACACAGAGGGGCATACTCGCACTAGTGTTATCTTCAAAGCACCTGACAGAATTTACGGCCAGACCTGGACGTATCTGACGGCAATTATGTCCAGAAGCAAGTAAAGAAGTCCTAGTGTGAATATATATACCCTAAATCTAGGTTACCTGATCGGACGTCCGGGACCCCCCTGACCGTCCGGGGTTGTCCGCTCGGACAACAGGTCGGACATCCTCCCAGGGCAGTCTGTCCGAGCCCGAACGCCAAAAAAA